GAAAGAGCCGAGGCAGAGCAGATCGTTGCGTTGCAATGAAGCGAGTTGAGCGAATTTGGGATTTGGAGGGGGCGGTGGGGGAGCCTCCTGGCCTTCGACGTGAACCGCATGACACGCTCGAGTCTCGAGGATCGGATCTTCTCCGCGGGATGACGAGGGAGGCGCGCGGCCCAGGCGAGCGAGAGGAAGACATATTTGTGCGGCGGGGCGAGCGCGCGTGCGCGTGTTAAATGGAATGAGGGGCCCCGGTCGTGGTGCGCGGTTGTCGACAATGTTAGCGTTAAAATTAATGCTTTTTGCAGCCACTTGGTGTAACAATGTAATTATCTGTCCGCGATGCGTTAAAAGTGCGCTCCATTGAATGATGATTGAAATGAAAAGTTCTAGGTTTATGGGCTCATGCGATAATTTTGGCACTCGAGAGGGTCTAAAAAGTGGCCAAGCTGCGCGAATGAAAATGTATTTCGGACTTTCCATTTGTAAACGAAATGTTGATTTAATAGTACTCGTGTTGTTACACATAATGAATTTGTCGTACCAAGTGTCAAAGATAACGTGACGCTTATAGAGATTATTAAGTCCCGAAGAAATTATGCGAACATATAAAAGGACACGTACGTAAGGGAATGAAAAAGATACCGGCGTCACCGAGGGAGAAAGGAAGAGACAGAAGAAGAAGAGGCAGAAAAAGTAGAAAAAGAAGAGATGGCGGAGGAGGAGAGGATGAGTGGAGGACAAGGAGGATAAGAAGATGAGGGAAGGAAGGGAAGGGACTTCTTAGAAGCATTAAAATTTTAAATTTTTATGGAGATTGTTTGTATAGAAACAAAGGCTATGATTAAGACGATACATCTTCCCATGCAATATTTATGGAGAATGGTAGTATGCTTAAGAACATTATAAATGCCTATTCCAAATGTTTATTTATTACTCAACAAAATTATTAACGATTGATTGTGTTGTTTATAAAATTTACTCATTTATACCGATGCTTTTATCCAAATTAATTGCATATCCATAGCACTGTCATCAAGTGTGACAGATGTAATGAAATTAAATAGGAAATATCTGTGCTTGAGATAAGATAATAAAAGTGTAATGAAAAAGTGAGGAATTGCATGTCGACTTTTAAGCTCTCTTAACTCTTCAACGTAACAAAGCTCATCGATGAATTGCTTTTCAAATGTATCTTCGAGACAATCGTCAAATTGTCATTGTAGGGATGCATGAAATTGAGTCGATTTTAAGCGCGCGCCCAAAGTCTCAATTAACATTTTGAACAGCAAAGTAGCAGAGAGCGAGCCAAGAAGCTAAAGAAAGACAAAGAATGAAAGAACGAGTATATGGAGGGAAGAGAGGATCGCAAGGAGCGAAGAAGTAGACAATTTTGCAAAGAGTTTTAGTTAGAAAATATTTTTGGTAATTGGGTATTTTTATATATATATATATATATATATATATATATATATAATATATATCGAAGAGACAGAGAGAGAGAGAGAGAGAGAGAGAGAGAGAGACAGAGACAGACAGAGAAAATAATGTGCATTCACATACGTAAACCTGCACGTCGAAAATTAATTCATTTTCCCAGCTCGATTTTTACCTTTTTCCATCATATTAGCATTTGTGTGTTTAATAACGATATTATTTTATTTTCGTTGTATTTTCATTACGGTAAGCAATAACGTGAAAAGTTTTACGGCCAAGCTTAGGTCATTGTCTTATCTCCCATCCAAAATATACATAACTACTCACGTGCGGAACGTTAATGTAAAAAAAAGAAGAAAAAAACATTAGACATATGGTGGAATCGTTATGATCATTTTTATGGAATATTCATTTTGTGAAAGCGATTGAGGGTTAATTATCTGCCAATTTTCCATTCGGCTTTTCCATATTATACATACACTATCATTCTACTATCCAAAGTCGGATTTTTCACTCTCGAGATATCCTCCGATATCGCACACATTATTACTTTGTCTTTACAATAATAATCGCTCATTCATTCGCTGCCTGACTCATCAATATCAAAATTTTATTTTACCAAACTCAAGATCCTAATGAAATAAATTAAATCTAATAAGTTACATGTATTGTTATATATCTAGCTAATGTGTAAGAGTGAAAGATTTTTACATTGGAATTGGAAAAAAGATTAGGAAAAATTAATTAGGATGTCCTAGTTGGGAGGAAGAGTACCAACAACTGCGATTACACTTGTATTTCGGCAAGTGTTCACAAAGTCATATCAAGTTCATATATAATAAGCTGTTACGGATTTATGAAATGAACATTCTCCATCAATCATAGTAGAGCTCGGAATAACCCTTGTTCAATGATCTTTAACGACAAATGAAGAAAAAAAAAAATAATCCACGAAAATTATAATTCACAATCAATGCTATATACCTGTGTCTATGGTAATAAGAAAAGATAATATAACTTTTCATTTTGCTACTATTTATCCAACACCTTTAACAGGATTTACCACTTATACTCGAATTATTCAATAAACAAAGAGTGTAAAAAGTGTGAAACATGAAAATTGTGCAATTACCGAATTGTACCCCTACCACATCTATATTTTGCTCCATTAAATAGCATTTTTTTGCATACTTTTTTTCATACTTTCATCTTTCACATATTTACTTTCTCTCAAAATTTTTTCCCCACCTACTAATTTGCCCATCATTCAATGAACCGCCGAAGTATCAACCATTTCCTGGCCGGAATATCAATCGACGAGCATATTACACCATCAGCGGGAGCGGACGTCAGCAATCCATTACGCTGACAGTCATGGGACGTAAATTATAAAATTGAATGCGTTTTACGCTCGCGAGACACTCGCACCCAACCCCGTCAAATTCCCCAGGAGCTCGCGTGCACCTCGGCTCATCCGCGGCACCCAGCCGAAGAGTAAAGTCGTCGCGACGATGTTCCGCCCGAACTCAAGCCACCCACCCTGCAGCTTTTAATTAACGACTAATCGACGTGCCGATATCAATGACAAGGTCAACATCCGTCTTGCCTCGTTCTCGCATCGACGCCCACCTTGAGCCGAGAACTTCCCTATATCCGTCTCCTCCTCCGACTTGTCCTCCTCCTTGCACCAACCGACAAGACGATGACGGCTACCCGTAGCTCTCTCCTCGCCCTTGTCCCCGTAATCACGGACCTCGCATCGCTGGCACTCGTAGCCCAGTTGTAATGCATACTGAATGTAATGAAGTAATGAAGTGTGAGTGTGAGTGTGCGTGCGTGTGTGTGTTACAGATAGATAGATAGATAGATAGATAGATAGATAGATGGATAGATAGATAGATAGAGAGAGAGAGAGGAGAGAGAGAGAGAGAGAGAGAGAGAGAGAGAGAGTAATTATTGCGGAGGAGAACGATAATGACGACGCTACATCCTTGCGAGAGATTTTACACTTTGCGCTTTGGACAAGCATTGTCGAAATTTCCACGTTCCCTTTACATCGACGACTTAATTAACCAAATGCCGTGTGACTGTGATTCGTAAAACTCCATTTGCTGACAAAATCGGCGCAGAAATTACCATAAGCAGGCGGTATCGATCATTCGAGCATCTTACGACGTTTATCCGAACGCTTATACACCGACTCCGACAACAATTAAACTGAATATTTTAAATCCCGTAAATTCTATTTATTTTTTATAAGACCTAATGCCAAATAAAGGACGAGGCCTTTGCTTATTCAACATTTTCTTCGCACGTATATCTAGCAAACAGCCTATCTGTTTAGCGTATCAAATGAAGAAAGTTTCTGTCGAGTTTCGCCACGGGGATATTTGCGTTATTTTCTTTCTCAAATATGTCCATTGGCTTTCAACAATTGGCATTCGAGGTAATTCATAAATCTTTAAAATTATCGGTAAAATCCTTAATTTTACGAGGAGTAAGCTAATACGGACAAAAGGCACTTCCACATCTCTTTGAGCTTAATTAATGAATAATGCCTGTGTAATAACTTAAATGACCGTAGTTAGATAAGACATAAAGAGGGCTGAGAAAATAAGTGGAATGAGAAATGAAAGCAAATATCGGCAATTAGTATGAATTATACGTTTACATGCTATCAAGTGCAACGATCAATGTTTTCCGAGCAAATTTTCCGGAGCCTAATTTTTTTTTAATTTTTTGCTTAGTTCTGTTTATATTTTAATTCAGACTTTATTCTACAGGATATCGTTAATCAATCGCCATTGTTAAAAAAAAAAAAAAAAAAAAAAAAAAACGTACACGTTGCATTCTTACTATTCCATGCGTCTTACAATAGAATATTTGAAGTTTGTGACATTAAAAAAATAATTGCTTCGTGTATTGTGATAATGCTAGTAACTGGGAAAAAAATATATTTCTTATTATTTTCAAAATAATAATACATAACAGGCAGTTATAATTGTTGTCGTAACATATAAAAATTTACGGCAATTTTGCATTTAAAATTTTTTTTTTTTTTTTTTTTTTTTGTAGCTCGAGATGTAGAGTACATCAGTTAAAACAGAAGCTGCATAAATTTTGCCATACCTAGGGATAATCACGTAGGAGATATTTAATATTATGGGTGAAATTATAAAATTACTGCTCACACGTCATTTCGGATCATCGAATAGTTTAATATTATTCAAGATTCATAAATTTCATTATTCGAATGACAATTATTAAATTATCTTATATTTTGATATTATTACAATTATCTTGATATTTTACTTCGCCCACAATGCATACACTTGCCTGATAATTACGTTGAATGGAATTTGTTGATTTGAAAATGTTGTTCACTGTGATTAACAAATGAAGATGAAAAACTGGATGAAAAACAATGGACATGCGCGTATTAAGTGATCTGTAATATTTAATTTTATATATTTATTTTATGTACTATATAATTCACATATAAGGACATTTATTCTGCGTTTTTAAATCGGCATTATATCGACAAAATAGAAGAAATAATACGCACAAAGTAATTGCAAATATAATTTATTCATTGTAATTTACAATGTTACAACAGCCATTAATATTGTGATTAATTAAACTATTTATAAAAATGTGATGTCATCTGTAATGTTGAAAATCTTCTGCTTATACTATTTCATTCGATAATTCGATCGAAAAATCGATGGAATTTTCACTGGATTTCTTTTCGTGGGCACACTCGACATTTTCACGACGGTCGCAGCGGTTTTTATGGGCATTGAAGTATAACTTACGTCTGCATTTCTGCAATTTGGCTTTGCCATTTTTACATTCGTAATAGAGAGAACAGTCGCTCTCGTGTGGAAGCTTAGCTTTATAAGATGGACAACGGAACGGTTTATTTGTCGTAGTGGTAGGCGCTGCTGTCGTGGTAGTTTGTGGCTTATGTTTGCAATCTACGTTCCATGGCCAATCGCACACGTCAATTTTTGAATTGAAATATAATCCTTTCGGGCATTTTCGTAATACTTTTCCATGCGCGGTGCATACGTAGAAAAGGAAGCAATACTTCTCATGAGGTATATATGTTACTTTATCAGAGGTACCGGGCGCTGGACATTGGGATGGGGGCAATGTCGTAGGCTCGGTAGGTTTAGGTGTAGTTACTGCAATGTTGGCACAGCCAGCGGATTCTTGCGACGCACATTTTTTAGTTACTGCATTAAAATGCAAGCCGCTGGGACAATTTTTGGCAATCTGTACGCCTAGGACGCAGACATAAAATTTACTGCACACACATTCGTGTGGCAAGGCAATTGGTTTATTGAAAAGACCACGGGGGCATGATGTTGGATAAACTGAAAAAGTAAATAAATTAAAATAATTTTTCAAGCCTCTTGAAATTATTCAAATAATTAATATTTAGAACAACGTATGCTTAAATTAATCGGTATGATAAAAAATGAATTACAAATATGGAAAATATTAAAAAAAAAAACAAAACAAAACAAAATTAGAGGATGCAATTTTCATTAATTACAATGTACTTACTGGGTTTTTCTGTCGTGGTTGTTGATTGCGGAGTTGTGCTTTCCGTTGTACTAATTGACGTAGTGGGTACAGTCGTACTTGGTTTCTGTGTCGTCGTAGTATTCGGTTTATGCGTCGACGTTGTAATGGGTTTATATGTTGTGATAGGTGCTTCGGTTGTAGTTGGTTCAGTTGGTTCATATGAAGGTGGAGGGGGTTCCGTTGTTGTCGTTGTTGTTGGTTTAGGCGTCCACGCAGTAGTAGGTTTATATGTTGTGATAGGTGCTTCAGTTGTAGTTGGCTCAGTTGGTTCATATGAAGGTGGAGGGGGTTCCGTTGTTGTCGTTGTTGTTGGTTTAGGCGTCCACGCAGTAGTAGGTTTATATGTTGTGATAGGTGCTTCAGTTGTAGTTGGCTCAGTTGGTTCATATGAAGGTGGAGGGGGTTCCGTTGTTGTCGTTGTTGTTGGTTTAGGCGTCCACGCAGTAGTAGGTTTATATGTTGTGATAGGTGCTTCAGTTGTAGTTGGCTCAGTTGGTTCATATGAAGGTGGAGGGGGTTCCGTTGTTGTCGTTGTTGTTGGTTTAGGCGTCCACGCAGTAGTAGGTTTATATGTTGTGATAGGTGCTTCAGTTGTAGTTGGCTCAGTTGGTTCATATGAAGGTGGAGGGGGTTCCGTTGTTGTCGTTGTTGTTGGTTTAGGCGTCCACGCAGTAGTAGGTTTATATGTTGTGATAGGTGCTTCAGTTGTAGTTGGCTCAGTTGGTTCATATGAAGGTGGAGGGGGTTCCGTTGTTGTCGTTGTTGTTGGTTTAGGCGTCCACGCAGTAGTAGGTTTATATGTTGTGATAGGTGCTTCAGTTGTAGTTGGCTCAGTTGGTTCATATGAAGGTGGAGGGGGTTCCGTTGTTGTCGTTGTTGTTGGTTTAGGCGTCCACGCAGTAGTAGGTTTATATGTTGTGATAGGTGCTTCAGTTGTAGTTGGCTCAGTTGGTTCATATGAAGGTGGAGGGGGTTCCGTTGTTGTCGTTGTTGTTGGTTTAGGCGTCCACGCAGTAGTAGGTTTATATGTTGTGATAGGTGCTTCAGTTGTAGTTGGCTCAGTTGGTTCATATGAAGGTGGAGGGGGTTCCGTTGTTGTCGTTGTTGTTGGTTTAGGCGTCCACGCAGTAGTAGGTTTATATGTTGTGATAGGTGCTTCAGTTGTAGTTGGCTCAGTTGGTTCATATGAAGGTGGAGGGGGTTCCGTTGTTGTCGTTGTTGTTGGTTTAGGCGTCCACGCAGTAGTAGGTTTATATGTTGTGATAGGTGCTTCAGTTGTAGTTGGCTCAGTTGGTTCATATGATGGTGGAGGGGGTTCCGTTGTTGTCGTTGTTGTTGGTTTAGGCGTCCACGCAGTAGTAGGTTTATATGTTGTGATAGGTGCTTCAGTTGTAGTTGGCTCAGTTGGTTCATATGATGGTGGCGGAGGTTCCGTTGTAGTCGTTGTTGTTGGTTTAGGCGTCCATATAGTAGTGGGTTTATATGTCGTTGCAGGAGGTTGTTCGGTTGGGGTCGTTATTGGTGGTTCGGTTGGAATATCGGTAGTGGACGTTGTAATTGGCTTATGCGTCGACGTAATAGTGGGTTTGTATGTTGTCGTAGTAGTGGGTTCGGTTGTAGTCGTAGTCGTAGTTTCAGTAGTTGGAGGATACGTCCACCCTGTAATATATATTCAAGTCGCGAAAACAATGATTATTAAAAGTAGCGGTTATTCTTTTACACACATACAAACAAACAAACAAACACACACACACACACACACACAGAGAGAGAGAGAGAGAGAAAATTTAAAATACCTACCTTCAGTAGTCGTTGATGGTAATTCTGTTGTTGGGGATAGTGTAGTACTAGTTACTTCTGTCGTTGGATTTACAGTTGTTGTATGTTCACAATCCCCGTCAACGGCCCACTCACATTTTCCCGTTTGAGAATTATAATGATGACTCTTCGGACATTGTTTCAATTCTTTAATACCTTTATTACAAATGTAATATTTATCACAATCAGTTTCGTGCGGTATAGTATTTGCAATTGCACTATCAAACTCGTGGGGACAACGAAGAGGTCCGATGGTTGACCACCGTTCTTCTACTACACCGCCTTCATTATTTAACTGTCCTTTGGCATTGTTAATAGTTGCCCAAACACAGAGTATTAAGGTAAAGTAATTATATTCTGAAATATAATTTTATTGAATATCATTACTAACATTACCATGAGTATAATGTTAAATTTGTTATTTTGATTAGAGAATACATAAGTGGTATGCTGGTAATTACCTTTCATTGTGAAAATACTGTGCTGATTAATGGAGCACTGATCATAACACTGGTAAAACGGGAAACTGGTCTAACGAGACTGTACACAGGCTTTTATAGAAGTGGTCCTGTTATCACATAATAACTGAACGGTTATCTTATCAGTGTCACAAAAATACATTTCGACAAGTAAGACGAGTGCAATTTAATCATTTAATATTCTTGGGAATTTTGTAACTATATGGTATACAAGTTGTTTGACCTGCTTAATTAATTAATTAATTAATTAATTAATTAATTTATAATTATAAACACTCGGTTCGATCAAAACAAATATTTTTGAAATATGATAAATTGAAAGATATAGACACGGCTATTTTAATGTTTTCACAAAATATTTTGTATGAATTTGTTTAGCGATTCTTTAACCTTTTTCTTTTATTAATTGTACAAATAAACAAACATTCAAAATGTAAATAATGAAGTCGGAAATTATTTTATAACTTTATTAAACATTGCATATAGGAGTATTTAATGATAAAGTAAACATGAATTAATTTATTCATAAAAGAGAAAATATGGAATGTGAATTATAATTTTATTGAAACAATTTAGTTAATTATTTACTGAAATTTATGTTATTGTTTAAATGTGGTTGAATTAAATTAACTTAAAATTATATTTATGTTAAATATTTTTGTCTGATAAAATTTGGGAATTGGAACTTAAAAAAAAAATACATGTATTAAAAGACTAATGTTTAATATGAAAGATTATTTTGAAAAATAATGTAGTAGATTTATTATTTTTCACGTTAGCTCATACTTATTCATCTTCTAATTTTTCGCATTTATTGTTGTATGACAGATTCGTGTTTATTTTGCCAAAATGTCAATATTTTCTTAGCTTTATGTATATACTCTTATCTGTTTAAATTCTAATCTGTTTATGCCGATGCTACGAGTGCAAGTATTCAGGAAAAGAAATTCCTAAAGTTTAAATATCAATTATAAGTTGTTCTGCAATTATCGAACATTATTTATTGATAGGATTTCCCGACTAAATATATTTAAATTGTGCAGGGCATTGCAAATGAAATTCAGTAAGATTAAAATAAAACATCGATAATTTGTAAAGGAAATCTTAAGAAAATATGATCCACGATATTATTACAAGAAATATAAAGGTTAATTTTACAATAGAACGAAATTTATTTAAAAATTTTATAAAAAAAAAATATGATTAATTTATGAATTTTTACGAATGAATTATCCCTATCTGCGGGTAAGTTCTCTTTAAGATTTCAATTTCTTATAATTTTTCGATAAAATATACTTTTACAAATAAATAAGTACATTGAGAATGAAATTTAAAATTCATTTAAATTTTTTAATTACTCATGTATATTATTTTATTAGGTATAATATTGTTTAATCTAATGCACTCGTGGATTTAAGTAGATTGTCATTAGAAAAAATACTGCATTTCAAGTTTACAAATATTCCAAATGTTTGGCAAATTGTAAGCCTAACTATATGGAGTCAATTTTGTGTGTGTGTGTGTGTGTGTGTGTGTGTGTGTGTGTGTACACGTTAATTTTTAAGTGTAATTAAAAAAATATTAAAATTAGTATTATATAAATAGCAAAATATTTAATTCTGATTGTTTAAAATACGCATTAATTAAACAATAACTAATGATTACGATAGAAGTAGCAGTTTTTATTGAAAGCCTGTCAATTATACGAGATTATTCGTGCAATAATACTAATCCCTTAGGATTATTACATGTTATAATCAGGACGTAATTACGACAACATATTAATATGCAATGAAAATTTATTCTCATATATATATATATATATATATATATATATATATTTATTTATTTATTTATTTTCTAACATGTTGAAATGATTTGCAATAAAATTTCAAAGTGTCAGAGAAAAGTCGCCTAATTTTGCAATGTTTACGATTTCTAATGTCATGAGCGGAAGGCCAACGGCCCAACGATGAACCGCTGACATCACAAAAGAGAATCGAGACATATCCGAGACCTAGGTGAGCCCTACACCGCGCAGACGGTGAAACCTTGAATGTCGGTGCCACCGACCTACATGATTATTACATCCGCGACGGTTGCCGATCCCACGGTGGTTGTTCCTTGCGCCCTTTGACCCGCAACGAAGGAGAAAGGGTGATCGGAGCAACGAGGCAGAGCTCTTGAACTCGGGAGCGCTCCTTAACTTGTGTCACGCCTCTGTAGTTTTAGCATTTTTGTTTCCTCCGATCGTGTAGTTAAGAAGCCCAAAAATCCAAAACAACTTTGCCAAGGGACGGCTACTGCTCCTGGCTTCGAGAGGTTTTACGGTGTGAATAAACAGTCGAACTTTTAGCCTGGATAAAGCGGCGAAGGGGGGAACCAATGCTTTACGATTTAGCAAACGTGTGATTATTAATGAACGCATAATGTCGTTAAGCCATCCTAGTTTATCGCCGCACAAGTTGCAAATAAACGATATTTGTGAGCGCTATGGTTTTACGAATGAATATACAAAGCAAAGTAAGAGAGGCGAAATATGGAAATGATAAACCATATTGGTGCAATTGGAAGTGCTTAAATAAATTACGACGGTTCATTGGGTAACATTGTCGAGATGTTTTTCTCACAGTTAAGCTCAAACTCATAGCAACAGGAGAAGGAAAATTTTATAATCATCATAATAAGTTTATCTCATAAAACTACAACATCATCTCTACATTTTCCCACGAATTTGCCATATGAGAATTTGCAATATAATTCTCTCATTCTTTCTCTATCTATCTATCTATCTATCTATCTATTTATCTAACTATCTATCTATCTTTGTTTCTCTTTCCATCCTCGACGACGGCTTCACGCGAATCACGCACCTCAACTCTTTAAAAGCGCCTTGACTTCTAATGCCACGCGCCGTTCCGGGAAGCGGCAAAAAGCCGCTCGAATACATGAATGCGTTATAAGAGCGAACGATTGAGAGAGCGAGAGAGAGAGAGAGAGAGAGAGAGAGAGAGGGAGAGAGAGAGAGAGAGGGAGAGAGAGGGAGAGAGAGAGAGTGAGAGAGCGGGAGGGAGGGAGACAAGCAAGTGCGCTTTGGTTACTTTCTCACTCTCCTGCGCTCGACGTTGGCGGCAGTGGTAATGCGATACGTGCGGATTGAAAAAACATTGCCCTTTCGCTCGGTTTTTTCCCATCCTGGAGTCGTCATCCGCTTTGACAAGTGCACTTTACATTTTTTGCATGAAAATCTTATGATTCGAAATACTCTTAATTGTCGATACAAGTTTCACCGTTAATTTCACTTGGTGAGAATTGAGAAAAGATGAGTTCAATATTCTCTTTCCAAATACTTCAAATGAAAGGAAGTGTCTAGTAAAATATTTGATTGTTAGCTCAATATTAACTTACTTAAAAATTAAATAAACGTTAAAACTGCGCGAGTAATATTGTTGAGATATTATTGTATTGCCATTAGTTTTGTGGTTAATTCAATCCCTTATTAAGCGGAAGAGTCGTAATTTGACGTCGAATGTAAATTGAAATAAAAAAAATCTTATATACACAGTCATTATTTTATGTTTAAATTGCAACGTACCGAATAATTTATTTTTAAAATATAGATTTTCATACTGTTTATAGACTCTCGGTATTTGCTTTGAATACACATAATGCTGCTGTTTAGTTTAAACAGCTCGTGTATTAAAGATACCTATTGTGTACTCTACCGTGTGTTTTACTAATTGATATAAAATAATTATGATTCGGTGATTTATGGTGGGACGAAAATTGAAAGAATTATACGTTATCATTGCATTGGCGTGGCAAATAACTTAATAGAAGGGAACGGAGTCTATTAGACCAGACACGTATTCGTTAATTGGCCACAAAGATTAAGGCTTAATTTTTCAAAGGATAGAGCACGAATAATGTAATTAAGATAATGCTAATTACATAATATTATTAAGCATTTTCCCATAATGGTGGTCGTATTTCTTATAACGGCCCACGCCCACAAACAGATATTTTCAATCCCAAAGCTATTTTGTCACTAATGAGTTGCGTCAGTCGTTTAACTAAAAAAAAAAAAAAAATAAATAAAAAAAAAAATTAACCTATAATATCGGCTGTACGAAAGTCGAATTAATCTCTGAGAACATCTGAACAAGAGAATCGCGCAAAAACTTGAATCAACATTGTCGTAGACATTGAGAAAGGAAAATGGAAAAAATGATGTCTATCGATAGGGATCTAAGCTCGACTTTCCTTTGATTTACAGAGGCAAACTTCCTTTACTCGCATCGATAGATCTATACGTAGGCACACGCGCGCATTATCGACTCGACAACTAACTAATGTCGTGGTTCACTTGTTCTACCTACTTATCAACTAATCCAAGATCGGCTCAATTTACGAAAAATATCCGTATGAACATGTACAAAGCTGGAGGCGTGTGGCCGTAAGAAAATGACTTAGTGGCGGTGATGGCGGGGGGGGGGGGGGGGGGGGGGGGTGATTGCCAGAAATATGATGGGATTTCGATAGGCGCACAATGGAAATTGGAAAGTCGAATATAAACGCTGATATGTCAATTGATCGAGAGTCTGTTTAAGAGAAAAAATGTTTCCGATAGTCGCTTTGCCTTTTCATTTAAATGCGCACTTTTAAATGTGCACAACTGGCCAATTATTATAAAATGTGCAAAGTTCGCTATCCGATAACTTTGTGGACAAATATCTAATTAAAGTTATTGCGCCTCCTTTACTATAATTTTTTGAATAAAACTTTTAATTACAGGACTATACTAAGGAGCAGAATTCTAACGTTTAATGTTTAACATATTGCGTGAAAATAGCTTAAAAAATCAGGAGCCAAGTTTTCATTTGCGAGCAACCGAGAAACAAAGATAGATAGAGAGAGAGAGAGAGAGAGAGAGAGAGAGAGAGAGAGAGCGAGAGAGAAAGAGCAAGAGTTTGAAAAGTCGATGTTCGA